TTCTTGCAGTTTGCGCCACTAAGGGTCCAGCGGAGCCAGCGGAGCCGCGTGCTACGCGGCAGAATCCGACGAGGCCTCGCCCGCCCTGTGTGCTGCCAGGCGCACGACCGTTGCCGACTCCCTAGCGCAAGGCAGACCCAAGTTAGGCCTTGACCTCCATGTGTGCTGCCAGACGCGCAACCACACTGTCCTGCACAGTGTAGGGGGGTGGGTCCAGCAGAGCTCGGTGCTGCAGCGCGCTGGGGTGGGTGGTGCCCACACAGACCCTCAAGCACAGGGGGTTTGTGGTTCTGCATTGGGTATGAGCCACAGTAGCCATAAGTCGGGCATGCCCCTCTACAGGAGGAATCTTCAGAAATAGTCAGACAACAGTATGGTGACGGTGATTTGCCTATTTGTGAGTTTTCTTGCATACTTTCGACTTCTCGTTTTTCCTTCAAAATCCGTCTGTAGGAGGACATGCCCGAGCTGACAGTTGCCACATGCGACACGAAATCCTGCTATAAGAAATCTTGTGGCACACTCTTCCTCGAGACGTGAGTTTTCTGAGGTGGCCCAGGGCTTCTGTGAGCCCCCCCCCAGGGTCATCGAGGGGTAAGAATCTGCCATGGAGCACCGGCCAGCAGACCGATTTGTTCTATGATGTGCCTAGTGTGGGGGGCAACAGGTCAAGCTGGCGGGTTCTTGCGTGCCCCGTCTGCGCGAAACGGTTCCTCTCCTGAATTCGGGAGTGCGGGTTACCCCCAACTGGTGTACAGGATGGCCGAGCCGGGGAAGCCCACGTGGGTCTTGAGGTAGTTCGTGATGTTTGCCATGCGGGGCCTGCCCCGGTCTCCTCCTTCGCGTCCTCGGCAGCGGTGCTAAGGGCACGAGCGTGTTGTTGTTTCTGTCGCCAGCGGCGGGGGTGGGAATGGCACTCACAAAGCGGCATGCAAGCTTCAGCAGCAGCAGCAGCAGCAGCAGCAGCAGCAGCAGCAGCAGCAGTAGGAAGGGGGAGAAGGAGAAGGACAATGACAAGTATGGGGGTAGGAGGATAAGTGGAGGTGGAAATCGTCAAGGCGGAGGAGTAATTGCATCATGTTTGCTCACCGAGTTACTCTGGACGCGTCGCGTAACCCCACCAACCCATCCAGAAACGATGCCCTGGCGAGCTGCCCTGATCAAGGATGTGGAGGAGCATACCCTGGAATAAGGGGTTCGGGGAGCCGTCATACCCCAAGAGGGGGATATGGAGGAGGAGTCTGAGGAGGAGGAGGAGGAGGAGGAGGAGGACGATGGTGGGGGAGAACGGAGGAGGGACGAGGAGGGATAGATGGATGAGAGGAGGAGGAAAGGGAGGAGGATGAGGAGGAGGCTCTTGGGAGCCTCTTGGGGGCCTCTAGCGGGCCTCTCAGGCATGAATCCTAGGCGCCTCTTGGGGCCCTCTTGGGAGCCTTGGGGGGACCATCTCGGAGGAGATCGACCAAAGAAGAGGGGGTACAAAATTAGCTTTGCGCCCAAAACCTACAGACAGATCAGTGATTTGTGCTTCTTTGACGTCCCTATCGGTCGCGAACCCCCTTTCCGAAGGGGCGGAAGGGGCGTTGGAAGAGGAAACACCCTAAAGCAGTGACGCCCTAAAGGGCTGGTGGCTTAGTGGGCCACGGAAACGGCAGGGCCGTTTTTTCACCGTTTCCGAAAACGTGTCTCTTGAAAATGGAAACGACAAAAACGGCAACCGGAAACGGCAATAAAAACGGCTCCAGGATTGGAACCGGAGCGGGAACCCGTGAGAGAACGGCGACGGAACCGGTAAAACAACGGCGTCGGAACCGGCAACAAAACGGCAAAACGGAACCGGGAACAACAACGGCCCTGTCGTTTCCAGGGCCCACTAAGGCTGGTGGTACACCGTGGGTCACCACCCACCAAACCACCCCAACCCAACCCGAAGGCTCAGATTTGCCCTCCATTTCCAGTGGGGGGGGTTCGCGGAACATCGAAAAAACACGTATGGAACCCTTACCCCCCCCAACCCGAAATTCGGGTCTTCGGGTTGGGTTGGGGTGGTCTGGTAGGTAGTCAGTGGGATCCTGCCACCGTCCTCCTCCAGCTTCGCCGTGCCAGGCGGGCAGTCCCCTGATGCCCACAGGGGTCACCAGGCACTCTGCTGCAGGGCGCGGTTGAGAGGTGGAGAGCGCGCACGCTCGCGCGCGCGGACACCCGAGGACGTCTGAGAGCGTCTGCAGCCACGCGCACAAGGGGGTGGGGGGGAGGGGGGAGGGCTTCTTAAAGCCCCCTGCTTCTTAGAAGGCGCGGGCCTTATCTATAGATGTAAGGCTGGCGCCTTCTAAGAAGCAGCCTGCTTCTAAGAAGCCCTCCCCCTCCCCCCACCCCCTTGTGCGCGCCGCCAACGTCTGCCGGACGCGGCTTCTTCGTCCAGGGCTACTCCAGGATTGGCTTTGGAGTGCTGGGGAGTGCCGAGGAGCCCTGAAAAGTCGGGTTGACCCAGAAGGGGGTCCAGCGACAAGTGGGTGGTGCAATAGATTCGGTGCAGTAGATTTGTGGGGCTGCGACACATTTGGCATTTGGGGCGTGCAGTACATTTCGAGGCGCATATGTATTGCTGCATTTTCGCGTGCAATACATTACTTGCAATACAATACAATACAATTCTCCAGCGCAATGCATTTGCAATACAATTGCCCCAATTCTATTGCACCACCCCCTTTCAGCTGGACTTCCTCCTGGGCCACCCCAAAAAAGGGCTCCGAGGCGACCCACGATGGAGCCACGAGGCAGCCCGAAGAGAGCTGCCGTTTGGCCAGAGCGGCGCCCACATGACGGCCCGGGCCCCGAGGCAGTCGCAAGCCAGCCTCAATGTCTCAGACAGATAAGATTAGGAGGCATCATGACGACGAGATGCGCTTGCCGTGTCAGCACGAAGGGGAAGATGAGGAGAAACATGAAGAGAGGAGGAGAGGGAAGAGGCAGAGGGTGATTCTCCCATTGGCGACGCCAGATATGTGCATATTGCAAAGCCAGGGCGCCTGGCCCACAGCCAGGCCAGCCACAACTGGGGGAGCTGTGGTCCTTACCCCCCTGGGGGACCCATCGATTTCGACACCCCTCTCGAGAGATCGCCGATGCGATGGGTTCCCCCAGAGGGGTAAGGACCACAGCTCCCCCAGTTGTGGCTGGTCGGACAGCTGGCCCTCGTGAGGGTCGCCATTTTTCGAGGGCCCGGGCGCCCCGTCCACAGCCGGCCCGCGGAGCCATGGCAGAGGCCTCCGGCCCAGCAGGAGCGGCGCCGTCCCTGTGAGGGTCGCCGTTGTTCGAGGGCCAAGGCGCCGGGCCCACGGTCGTGGCCCACCCTGCTCTGGACGCTCGAAATGGGTACGGAAAGAATGGGTACGATGCCCAGCAGCAGTTCTGGTTCATTTTGAACAGGACTCGCTGTCCACGCCGCCGCGGCCTGTGTCCATTTGAGACCGCCTGCCCACCAGCGGCCGCTGTTGGTTGGGGACAACATTTGTTGTTGGGCATTGTACCCACTCTTTCCGTACGGTAGGTTCGTGCGGCGTTGGCGCGCCGGCGACGCCGACGAATGCGTTCAAGGTTGAATTCCACGACGCGGCAGCCCCGATGGACACGGCAACGCCTCGAGACCCGACGGGAGTCAACCTTGAACGATCGGCGTCGCGATCGATTCAAGGTTGGACGATCGACTCGGTGTCAAAAACCTCAGCGCGTGCCGACACTGCACGAACCTGTCGTACCCATTTCGGGCGTCCAAACACCGGGGAGGAGCCCCTGCAGCCCGCTGGGAGGATGCCCACAGCCGGCCCGCAGCTGGCAGACGCCTCGGGCCCACCAGGGAGGGTTGTGATGCTCCAACCTATTTCGGCCTTGATCACCAGAATGGATTCCGAGCACCAGGAAGGTACCGAAATTCGAGGGCTTTCACGAGTCGGGCCCCAGGATACGCTCGCCCGACACTGTTTCGACACTGTTTCGACACTTTTCCGGGCGCGCGAAATCATTTCGGGGAGGTGGTCCTCAAGTACGATGGGAGCAACATAACAGGAAGGGCGCCATCCCTTGTGAGGGTCGCCACTCTTCGGATGCCAAGGCGCCTGGCCTGCAGCTGAGCCACGGAGTCGGCAGCACCCTCCAGCCCGCTAAGAGGAGCACCATCCTCGTGAGGGTCGCCGCTTTTCGGAGGCCAAGGCGCCTGGCCTGCAGCTGACCCACGGAGCCTCGGCAGCATCCTCCTGCCCGCTGGGAGGAGCGCCCTCCTCGCGAGGGGTGCCTGGCCCACGGCTGTGGCCCACGGGAGTCTCGGCAGCGCCCGCCCTGCCCGCGGGGAGGAGCGCCGTCCTCGTGGGGGTCGCCGCTTTTCGAGGGCCGAGGCGGCCAGCCCACAGCTGGCCCACGGTGCCTGCCGAGGTGCCACGCGTGAGCAGCAGCGGCTGCACGAGGAGCAGCCGCAGCACGGCCACAGCAGCAGTTTAACAGCCACTTGAACTCTTGAGCGCAGAGGAAGAAAAAGTACCCATACCGCTACCCTTCGGCCGTTTCCCCCTTTTTGGGCCTCCCTGCAGGATCGCGTCGCCACCGCTGGATTCGCCTCGAAATTCTGGTCAGAACGCACCCCACGAGAGGTCCAGGGAGTAGCGTATCGGTACCTTTTGGTTTCCCCGTGAACAGCGACGACACGAGCAGCAGCCGCAGCATGAGCAGCAGTGGCGACTTCAGCAGCGGCCACATCAGCGGCAGCCTCATCAGCAAAGTCGTAACGAGCAGCAATCGCATCAGCAAATCTGGCAGAGGTCTCCGATCATCAATTCTTATGACCAGGTCAGAACCCTTATGCTAAAGCATACGTGGGGGACAACATGAAATGCCACGTTGAGTGTACGCCAGGTACAAGGTGGGGGTGCTGCGTACAGGAGGAGGGAGGAGGAGGAGGAGGAGGAGGAGGAGGAGGAGGAGGAGGAGGAGGAGGAGGAGGGGGAGCGATGAAGAAGCGGGAACACCCGCTGCTCGAGCCGGGCCTGGCGCCCCCGCCGGAAACCAAGGTCTCACGGCCTGCTTCCCAAGACATGTGCCACGGAGCGCGCAGCGAGGGCGAAGGCGACACGCAGGGGGACCCGGATACAGCTGGCACGCCGAATACACAAACCGCCTGCCAGCATGCGCCCCTCGAGCGCACTACTTCGGGCGTGTCCCTCTGCAGGAGGAATATCAGAGCCCCGAATCATCAGGGGTAACTCGGGTAAGGGCTAACTCGGGTTCGTTCTTCGGGAATCCGAACCCGACTTGCCCCGGACCCGAGTTACCCCGGATAATTCGGGCGTCCAGAGCCCCACATCATCAGGGGTAACTCGGGTCAGGGCTAACTCGGGTTCCTTTTTCGGGAATCCAAACCCGAGTTACCCTAGACCCGAGTTACCCTGGATATCTCGGGCGCCCAAGAATATCCAAAATGTGGTCAAAAACATCGTGTGGGGACGATGTCTCTACTATCTCTGATTTCTTGGAGCCCTTGTTTTAAACTATGTCTTGCTTTTCGTCCAAGGCCCGCATGTAGGAGGACATGCCCGACCTGACGAAAGTACTGTATTACCCGATGGCCCCGAGGGGGCCCATGGAGGCCCTGAGGCACCTCAGGACCCACAGGCATCGATGACGAACGTTTAATTCGGTCGTGTTCCTCTACAGGAGGAATATGCAAGCATTGTTATTAAAAATATGGGGACGAATTTTTGTTTATGTTCTGACTACTCATGAAATTTTGGGGGGATGAGTTTCACCCAAAAGCCGCTTATAGGAAGGAGGACATACCCGACCTAAACGAACTTGCCCCAGTACAATGAGGGCCCATACCAAGAAACACCCTGCTCGCCTCAAGGGTGCCCTGGGTTTCTTCAGTTTCGATGGCGTTTTCCCATGAACAGCGTGACGTCCCCACACCAAAAAGCAATGGACGCCCTGGGGTCTCAGGGATGGGTTTCTTGTGGAAGGCTTCTTGTGGACTGGCCTGCGCTGTTTTGTTTTTGTTTTTGCGAGATTCATTTTCGTGTACCTCTGCTGTGATCACTTAGGCCCGGCGCAGTGCCCGTCGAGCCGCAGAAGGACAGGTTTGGGGGTACACAGGGAGGGCGTGGGTGCGGCCGTGCGCGTGCCGAGGAGGAGGAGGAGGAGGAGGAGGAGGAGGAGGAGGAGGAGGAGGAGGAGGAGGAGGAGGGGTACACAGAAGGCCACCGCCGAGGCGGCCGCGGCCGCGCCCGCGAGGACATGAAAGAGCGGTTGGCGGAGACTGTCTTGCAGCTCGAGCACGAGCGACACTGGCGGGCGCGGCACCCTGCGGCCTCTGGCACAATCCATGGCGTTTGCCCCTGTCCCGCTCGGATATCGCTCTCTCTCTCTCTCTCTCTCTCTCTCTCCCTCTCTCTCTCTCTCTTTCTCTCTTTGTCCTTGCTCCCTCCCCTCCCCGCCGCGCGCGCGATTGCGCGCCAGCTTAGGGTCGGCAAGCAATGCGCCCGATATGCCTTGCAGCAGTATGCACGCAGCGCACAGTATGCGTTTAACGCAGGCTGTTATCTTTGGGCAACTACACGCGCCCCTTTCAGGTATCAGGAGTTTTCTTTGTTGGAGCATTTCTCACAGAAGGGTCTGAAGGTGAAACATCCATGGTCGCTTCGCCGCGGCACTTGAAAATACATGGGAAGAGTGTTGATGCTGGCCAGTCAGAAAAAGAGAGGAGGAACGAGGAGCCAGACGTGAGAAACGAGATGCGACGGGGAGAAGGAGGACCAGTTGAATAGGCCCTCTCCCCAAGCTCCCTCTTCATAGGCCCCTACAGCGGTTCATTTCCACAGAGGGACCTGCCTCGTTGGAAGACATCCGTTTGAAGACACTGAGGATGCCCAAACATTCTTCTCGGTAGTCCAACGTCAAGGATAAATTTGACAGTTGCGTCTTGACGATCCTGAATCGTGCCAGAACGCCATTCTTGGGGGTTCAACACCGCGAATCATCGTAACTGTAGCGTCCTCATAATCGCGAACCCCTCCAACACGCAATGTTTGATACGTCGATCATGGGAATCCGAGGAACTCTTGCAAACGTTGAAAAAGAATGCGCGCGGCGCTCAGGCGAGAGCCTCAATTTGAAAACCACCCGTCCTCAATCCGTGAGGCTCTTGCAAATGTTGAAGACGAATGTGCGCGGCGCTAAGGCCAGGGCCACATGTTGAAAACGACCCTCCCTCAATCCGCCGAATGCCTGCAACTGTTGAAAAATAATGTGCGCGGCGCTACAGACGAGAGCCACATTTTGAAAACGACCCGCTCTCAATCCGTGAAATTCTTGCAAACGTTGAAGAAGAATGTGCGCGTCGCTCAGGCGAGAGCCACAGTTTGAAAACGACCCGCCTTCAATCCGTGAAGCTCTTGCGAATGTTGAAAACGAATGTGCGCGGCGCTCAGGCGAGAGCCACAGTTTGAAAACGACCCGCCTTCCATATGTGAAACGGTTGCCAATGTTCCAGCTTCAGCGTCATATATGGTGAGGAAGTTTCGGGCGAAACGCCCGGCTCGCCCTACAAGCTGGCCTCGGGGTGCGACAGGGAGAAGTTATTTGTAAGGAGGAGAAAGCATGGAGGAGGAGGACGATAATAATAATAATAAGTTATTCATAAGGAGAAGGCATGGAGGAGGAGAAAAAGGAGGAGAAGGAGGGCAAGGTGGAGGCCGAGATGTGGCATAGCCCAAAGTGTGCTGATCAAGTTGGCCCATGCGAAGGTACGAGACGGACCTGTCGAGCCTGCGTGCCCAGCGCGACGCCGAGGCCGACACACCTCCTTGCGGGGGGGCGTGCCCCCTTGCTCTCTGCAGATCCCGGGCGCCGGCGAAACGCAACCTAGCGGGGCTCCTCCTCCTCCTCCTCCTCCTCCTCTTCTTCCTCCTCCTCTTCCTCCTCCTTCTCCTCCTCCTCCTCCGCCTCCTCCGCCTCCTCCGCCTCCTCCTCCGAACAGGGGGGGGGGCGGGGGGGGGCGGCGGGCGCGGGGCGCTCCCACCGCGGAGGGGGTCTGGGGAGAAGAGGGGGGGAAGGACCGCCAGCTGACATGCCCAGGAGGGGGGAAGGACCGCGAGCTGACATGCCCGGGTATAACGCGCATGGATCTTGGCATCGCTCGGACGTGTGCATTTTTTTTCTCGGCGAGGACCTTCGAGGAGCATCCTCGACCATTTGGCGAAAAAAACAGAGGAAATGGACGTCCGAGCGATGGCCAGGGATCAGCGGCGGGCCCCAGCTGCACACACGGCATCGGCGGGCTGGGCCGCCGGATCGGGCGGCCTCGGCCCCGCGTTGCGGGCGGGGCCCGCGGAATTCCGTTGATCTGGCGCCAGCGTGCCCCCGGCATCGCTCGGACGTGTGCGTTTTTTTCTCGGCGAGGGCCATCGAGGAGCATCCTCGACCGTTTGGCGAACAAGAACGCGCACGAAACCGACAAAAAGCACAGGAAGTGGACGTCCGAGCGATGGCCAGGGGTTAGCGGCGGGCCCCAGCTGCGCGCGGCATCGGCAGGCTGGGATCGGTCAGATCGGGCGGCCTCGGCCCCGCGTTTCGGGCGGTGCCTTCGACAATGCATGGATCCAGGCCTCGGAAGAGATAAGCGAACACTCATGCCGCATTCATCTGTCAATGCCCCCCACTGATCAATGTTGGCGGTGGGTTGGATGAGCTGCACTTCGACCGCAATCTTCCCCGCGCGTGCCAACTTTGAGTTCGGGGGAGCGGGGGAGTGTCCACTAATTGTTTCCCTCTACCGTCTGGCGCCAACGTGCCAGATCCACGTATCCCTACTTCACGTTAGCGTGTGCCCGAGGGCTCGACTGTGACGAACATGTGGCCCATGAGCTCCCCGCGCAGTGCCGCCCTTCAAGAGGGCCCTCCTCTCCCACGGACGGCCCTAGAGGCCCCCAAGAAGCCTCCCGGACAGCCCAGCGGGCCTCCAAGAGGTCCTCCAGGAGGGCCCGAAGAGGCCAAAGGCATTGATTTTCGACAACGGTGTTTGACGGATGTTGCCCTTTGCTTCCCTTCGGGCTTCGGACGGCCCAAGACGGCCCAAGATGCCCCCAACATCGCCCCAAGATGGCCCCGAAGGCCTCCGAGATCTGGGCGTTGTAATTTTTCACACAGCGTTTTTGCCCAGCCTGGGACCCCAGGACCAGCACAGATCGATCCGGCTCGAATTTTGGTGCAGACAGATCAGGTTTGGGGTTGCAGCCGTGATTTTTAGCAATCTCGCATATTTGTCACGGTGTCTGATCTCAGGGCCAACACTTCACGGCTGGACGTCTTGGTACAGGCGGAGACAGAACGGTGCACCCGCTGGAGGTCGCCGAGTTCTCGGTGTCGGCCGTTCGCTTGCCTCAGCAGCACACCAAAGAGCCCACGAGATTTGATAAGAACCCAGGCTGCCCGGAGCAAGCAATGTTTTGTATACCGCAGGTTTGCAGAAGGTACGGAGGCGGATTTCCAGGTGCCCTGTATGCGTGTGGTTATGCTTGTTATATGGAAGTGTGTTATCTTGTTGCTACGTAATTCCGTGTACCGTGTACGGGGTTATGTGTGTGAGGTGCTTGTGTATGGTACACCTTCACGGTACGGCAGTCTTGTGTATGCTTGTTGTGTTCAAGCCTTTTCTATAATACGATACGTCTGCCATCACGCATGTCATTAGTTTGTTTGTTGTTGTGGCGTATGCGCGTGCTGTGCGTCTGTTACGCACGCCTGTTCATTATGCACGTCTGCCCTTTGCACCTGCTGGCCATGCCACGTCTGCATGCGAATGGCTGATGGTTATGGCTGGTGGGTGTTTGAATGTGTGTGCGCGTGTGTGTGTGTGTGTATGTGTGTGTGTGTGTGTGCACGCACCTTTTGGCATTTGGTGTACGCCATGCTCGTTGACAATGTACGTGGGCTCTTCAAGCGTGTGAAGCACCTTTGTCATGTGAGCTTGATCCTTGCACCCATGTCAACTATGTTTGTTTTTCACGTGTGCTCGTTCTGTTGCGAGTGGGGTGTTGCTTTTTGCGCATGAGTGTTGTGAGTGAATATTTGTGTGTTCCTTGTGCATGATATTTTGTGTGTGTTTGTTTCTTCTAGACTTGTGGGTATGTCACCGATTATGCTGTCACTTATCGAGGGCGCGTTGCGGGAATTTCTAGTCTGGAGTCTGGCTCTGCGGTATGTGTAATCGATGATATTGTGTTTTGTCGATGACGTGAGGTGGGTTATGATAGCTTCGCTATTATTGCAGCTGGCTGTAATCCAGCGCAGCTCGTTCACCAGGCGCGCTGTGTCATTGTGACAGGGATTCTTATCTTGGATATCTGCTCTTCTGAATCATGCTGCTCTCGAGGTGACTGACTTGCTGGCGAATGTCCGGAAGCAGGCGCATGGGAGGAGGGGCATTGAGATCGGTCTGAATCGGACCTACACGCGAGGGAGCAGAAGGAAGGATACCGTCACCTCCAACAACGACATTCATATTTAGAATGTTCGCTAATACTGGCCGGTTTCGTGTGTCTACCCCATGCCCTTGATACCCGACCTCTTCCATCCCCAGTCCTCCCGCCCAGAAGGGATGGTCTCCTTCCCCGATACGGCGGAGTCGGTGGGAAGTGTACCCTAGCACAGGCCAGCGGGGGAACGGGCGGGCGGGCCCTAATGCGGGCGGCCCTCACGTCTTGAGCGGTGGCCACATTAGAATAGGTCCTTCTGGGAGAGGCGACATAAGTGAAGTTGCCGAACGGGGGTGCCAAGGAAACTGCTTGAAATGGTGGCACTCCTGTGGGCTTCGCACAGTACAATGGCAACGGGAGGTTTGGAATGGCGAGGATATGGTGGTTCTTGTGATGCCCAGTTGTCCCGAGGGCGCCGGGGGGGGGGGCACGCTCATCTATCGATGGGGGCTCACACCACAGGGATCAAAACGGATAATCGGTGCACTGGGCGCAATCCCACAAGCGTGGATTATTTTTTTGTCGTTGCACTTGAACTTCCACTTCTGCAGGATAGTTATTGTTGATCCTCCCACTCCAGCGTACCTGTTGCTTTTGTCAATTGAAGTGCCACCTCGGGGGCTCGCACTTTGTTTGTAAGAGGCAGTCTTGCGCCTCAGACTGCGTCGTTGGCCTTCGGTTTGCTACAACAGCGTATCCCGCCTGACACCTCTTCACGATTAATTGAAGAATTGCGCTCCCCTTCGAGGCTTCCAGACAATTCTCACAGGATCGTGCTCTCGCGTTGGATTTCCTATCAATTTATTCAGGCGCCGCGCCCTCGACACTCAGGAAGTACGCTCTCGCCCAGGACTTCCCGCCGATCTACGCTGGTCGGTCTCCTTTAGCCGGACTGCCCGAAGATGCCCAGAGTATGGATTCCCATTCAGTTTTAGGAGGTTTGTGGCACTGGCCGCTGTGCCACTGGGGTGGTGGAGCGGCGGTCCTCTTGGGCGCGTGGCCCTGGGACTCCGAAACTTCTGGAGACCCCCTCTGTTTTTTTATGTTTTCAAGTTTGGGGAGGCTTGTGGCATTCTCCTCCTCCTCCTCCTCCTCCTCCTCCTCTTCCTCCTCCTCCTCCTCCTTCTCCTTCTCCTCCTTCTCCTCCACCTCCTCCGCCCCTTCCTCCTCCTCCTCCTCCTCCTCCTCCTCCTCCTCCTCCTCCTAGTACTTTCGGCACCCGCCGGTGCAGGAGCACCCCAGAGGCCGCGGCCAGAGAGAGAGACGCTCCGAGAGGGCCCGTCGGCGGCCCGAGCGGCCCCGAGGCGGCTCCACGGCGGCTGGAGAGACCGTCCAGACGGCGAAGGGGTCCAACAGGACCTCTCCTCCTCGTCCTCCACCTCCTCCTCCTCCCCTCCTTCTCCTCCTCCTCCTTCTCCTTCTCCTCCTCCTCATCCTCTTCCTCGTCCTCCTCCTCCTCCTCCTTCTCCTCCGCCTCCTCCTCCCCCTCCTCCTCCTCCTCCTCCTCCTCCTCCTCCTCCTCCTCCAGACGGCGAAAGGGGGCGCAAGACCGCGCGAGGAAGGCCGAGGACGGCCCAACAGGACCTCAAGGGACCCCCAAGGCTGTTCCACGGGAGCACAGGACAGCCCCAGGACGGCCCCAGTGAGCTCCAGTGGCGTTGTCACATGCGACGGCGTTCTTATTATTTTTCCTTATGCTCACCAACATCGACAGCATCCTCCTCCTCCTCATCATCATCATCATCATCATCATCATCATCATCCTCGTCGTCCTGATCATCATCGCCGTCATTGTCGTTTTCGTTGTCGTCGTCTGCTCCCACTTCTCTCCTGCCTTCATCATCCTCCTCCTCCTCGGCCTCATCATCTCTGTCGCTTTGGAAGCCTGCGAGAGCTCTAGAGGCCTTCGGACGATCTGGCAGTGCTTGGCAATGCCGCGTATTCATTGGCAGGAGGAGAAGAGGAGGGAGAATAGGTCAAAACGAGGAGCCAGTGACGGAGGCGGAGGAGGAGGAGGAGGAGGAGGAAACCAAATGCGATGCACTCCCATGCGCTCCTAGCGGAGGAGCCGGTGAACATGCACTTCTGTGTATTGTATTGACCGGGGCTCAAGAGACGGGGGTCAAAGCAAACGGGGCGACCCAGAGCGCCGGATCTCGCAGGATCCTGCAGGGCCAGGGCTGCATCGACCCGGGCTTGGATGATCCTGCAAGGCCTGATTGACCCAGGTTTGGATTGACCCGGGTCAGATTGACCCGGGTCAGTGCGTCCCTGAATTGAGATGTGCAGGCGGAAGAGTTGGAGGATGCAATGCTCTCCCATGCGGAGCCCATTGTTGCGCATTGCTCGGCAGTGCGCGGCATTGCCGAGGGATCTGCGTTGTTCGGCATTGCTGGATGTTTCGGGGCATTGCTTGGGTACATACGGCCCCAAGGGGCCACTTGTTACTGTAGGTTAAACACTCAGTTCTGGGTCAATTTTCCATCATCGTTACCACAGGTCGGACGGGGGAGAAGGGAGGATTGGGAGGTCCTCCTCTTCCTCCTCCTCCTCCTCCTCCTACCAACTGCAGTGATGGTGGGAAATCGGCCCATCACTCAGATCCGAGCGCTTCACGTTTTATTGGCGTTGCAACGCCCTGGGTTTTTGTGGCATTGAACGGCAACGCCTTTACATTGTTTGACGTTGCTTGGAATCGCTTGGGGGTGGTAAACAAAAACCAGACGACAGATGACTGCAGAATCCGACGATAGCAACACGGAACCAAGACCAAGGATCCGTATTAACACAACAAGCAACCAATGCCAATGATGTCTTGGGCGTTATATTATTGAACAGATGGTGAATTCTCCTCCTCTCCAGCCGCTGATAACCCAAGACGCTCCAAGGGGCTTCCGAGATGTCGCTAGGAGGCCTCCGAGGTCACCCCAAGTCGGCCCAAGAGACCCTCAAGAGGGCCCCAAGACGGCCCAAGAGACCTCCAACATCGCTCCAAAGCGCTATGGTATTGGCATCCCGCACGCCCTACTCATTGGTTTGACTGTGCGCTCCCTATTCCCTCCTACGCGTGTCCATGTTCTCCGTCTCCCTCTCTCTTTCTCTTTCTCTCTCTCTCTCTCTTTTCTCCTCTCAGTCCCTCTCTCTCTCTGCCTCTCTACGCTTTGTACGGTTGCCTCCAGGCTACTTACGCACTATGTTGTCCAAAAATTCATCACACCTTGCGTATCCCCACCAGCCCATTAAGGAACGCTGCCGATGAGAGCCCCCGGAGACGTCGGAAGAGATTCTGAAACGATGCCAGGGCGAGTTGCCTTCTTCAGGGACATGTAAAAGCATGCAGTGGAACATCTGTCCAGAGTGGGACGAGGAGGAGCAGGAAGAGGAGGATGAGGACGGGGACGAGGAGGAGTAGGAGCAGGAGGGCGAGCACGGGAACGAGGAGGAGGAGGTGGACGAGTAGGAGGAAGAGGACGACAAGAACGACGAGGAGGAAGACGAGGAGGGCAACGAAGAAGAGGAATCACATAACATAGACATCGAGAACGAGGAGGGAGGAGAAGGAGGAGGACAAGGAAAAGGAGGATGAGATGGAGGAGGAGATGGAGGATGAGGAGGAGGAGGACGACGACGACGACGACGAGGACGAGGACGAGGACGAGGAGACGGACTCCAGCAGCCAGCCTCCGGGTCTTCTTGGGGCCTTTTTTGGCATCCTCTGTGGTCTGTCTCGGGGCTGGGGCCGTCTTGGAGCCCTCTTGGGGCTGTTCGGGGGATCTTGAGGCCCGCTTGGATCCGTTGTGTGTGAACGCAAAATCCCTCCACAACGGCGCTAGAAACGCTAGAGACGGCAACGGCAGGGAAAAAAAGAAAACGTACCGATCTGGCGCTTCGCACGAACGGCGTCCACACACTGCTGATTAATCCAAGAGTGCGGAACGACTGAGGCAACAAACGACGGAATATACACATTCATAAAAACTGGATGGTCTCTTCGGCCATCTTGGAGGCCATAACTGAAAGAAGGGAACGTCGTAACGTTTTTCCCCCCACGAGGCCCTCAGATCGCCCCTGGGGGCACTCTCGGGGCCCCTTTGTGGCACACTTGGTCGCTCTTGTGGCCGTTTTGGGTGCCTCTGGGGCCCCTCTCGGGGCTCTCTTGGACCATCTTGGGGCCCTCGCGATCAGAGGTCGGGGCGGGGCGGGATCGCATTTGCGGGATGAGGTGCAGCATTTGCAAGTCTCGTGTTCCGAAAGTTTTGAGCGTCAAGCAAGATGGGCACCGACGGTTGCAACATCTGGAGGGCGAGATCGAAGTGCAACGAAGTCCCCCGTCCCAGAGACTCTGGTCTCGGTTCGCGTGGTTATTGATGTGCGGGGCAGGCGGGGCGAGGCGAGGCGCAGCTATAACCGGGAGCTCCTGCCTCCCCGAGGGAGAACGTGCTGCTTCCACCCTCCAGGCGGCCGGGCCGTGCCCAGGGGTTGTCCCAGCGGTTGTCCCGCGGCTGTGCCGGATGCACCCAGGACGTGCTCCGAAGTATCGCAGCGTCGGGCGATGGGGGAGCGTGTGTCCGCGCGGGCTCACGGGGCGTCCTCACACGCCCCTCGCTTGCCCCTCGCGCTCACCGTCAAGACCTCGCCCCGCCTCGCCCCGCCCTTTTCCTTCCTCCGTGCGCGTTGCCTCCGACCCGATGACAACGACGACGACCACCACCACCACCACCTAAAACGACGCGAAGATCGGGACATAATCGGATCGGGATAATTCGGAGTCTCTGAGAATCGGCGGGTTTGGAGGATGTATTGGGCGCCGCGGCCGCTCCAGAGCGTTCCGGAACGCTCTGAGAGCGCTCCGGAACGCTCTGGAGCGATTTATCCCGATCCTAGCCCTGTTTCACCACCACCACCACCACCACCACCACCACCACCACCACCACCACCACCACCACCACCACCACCACCACCACCACCCGCACCACCACCCGCACCACCACCACCACCATGACGACCTCGCGCCGCCGCCCACGAGCCGCGCCGCTCTCCCCCTGGCGAAGGGCGAGGAGCTCGCCTGGCAGCGGCAGCTCGTGCGGGGGCTCCAGGATGTCCGCCCGGCGGTTTTCGAGAAGTTGGGGCATCGACTGCATCATTTCGGCGGCGGGCGAGGAGGGGAAGTCAGAAGGAGAAGGCATTCTCAGAAGGACGCGGGACTTCTCGGGAGTCGTGCCTTCTGAGGGGCTTTGTTGTGTGTTCGGGAAGGCTTAGAAAGCTTTTCAGAAGGCTGGGGGACTTCCGAGGCTTCCGGGAAGGCCTTCTCCTTCTCATTCCCCCCCTCGCGCGCCGCCAATTACAGTCGGGGCCCTGGACAAGGAACCCTTTTCGTTGGGGAGGGGCTCCGTGTTCCTTAATTGTTTTACAGTTTGCCTCGGGTTTTCCTAATGTTTTTGATGGAAAATCGAAGTTTTGCTTGTGGAAAAAGGGGCCTCGTTTCTTAGTTAGGGTTCCTTAGGTCAACGCCCCGACTGTATTGATGTACCCCAAGCTTGCGTTGTGCGCTGAGCAGGTGACAGACATACGCAGGCTGTTCCGTAGATCTGCGAGCCTTCTGCGCATCGTTCGCACACTCGACGAGAGCATCAGTTTTGGTGTACATTTTTGGCAGCGCCCCCATCTCTCCCTATCTTGGTCGGTTGACTGTGCCGCGTCGCGCGCCAAACGCCAGTGCTGGCTTGGGACCGCTGGCGCTGGCACTGCGCGGGCTGCGGGACAGGCGGCGCGGCGGGATTCTGCCCCTCCCGGGCCGAACGAAAGGGGGGGACAGGGAAAGGGGGGGGGTAATTACGAAATCTGCCGCATGCAGCTGGTTTCCGCCCCGCCGCCGGGCCCATTCCTCGATACATGGGCGCCTCCTGGCGCCGGGAGGCGCTGGGAAAATCAGCTACGCGAGCTGATTCTCACCCCCCCCCCCTTGCTATCCCCCCCTTTCGCCCGGCCCGACCCTCGGCGAAGGCGGCCTGGCCTCGGGGCGCTGTGGAGGCAGCCTCGGGGCGCTGTGGTGGCGGCGGGCCCCCGCCGGCGCCGAAGCCTGCGAGGGCCCGCCGGGGTCCACGGCGGTGCTCCCTCGGAGAGGAGGGCGACAGGAGACCACCGGTGCCTGGCCTTCGGCGGGGGGGGTCCTCGTCGCCACGGCTGGGCGCGGATC